TAAATCTCATTATAGAGCAGAGCTACCTGGCAGGGTGGAGAAACCAGGCTCTTGGGAAACCGTCCCACTCCAGTTGACGGAGCAGCAAGACCTGGCTCCTGAAAGGCAACAACCTGGAGCAACCACCCTGAGCTTCCAGGGCTCGTTAACTCTCCTCTGGCCAGATCTGTGACTTGCTACACAATGCACAGAGCAATAATTTCCACCCTTGGTCTCCAAAAAAGTAGTTCTGCAACCCAGGCTGATTAGCCACCAGCACCAGCCTCCCCGTTCGCCGTATAAATCTAGAGCCTTCAGTTACATCACGCCAGAAAACTGAAATATAAGTCAGATGGCAAAGGGATTAATGGCAGCGCTGTACAGGCTCAACAATGCAAACCTTCCCAAAATGAACTGTCTTGACCCTCGCTGGGCTGACAATAAAAGTGTGACATCATGTGCAAACGAGCTTTAAATTCGAACCAGGTGCAGGGAGCTGCCTGGCGTCGCGCGGCTGCTGTATAAACCACTAACATGCAAAGCAGCGATGCTGGAGGCAAGAGGAATGCCAAGCACGGACAGGACCCACTCAGCAACAAAAACAGGTACCAGCAGCTGGTGCAGAGCAAGAATGAGCTCTGCATCGTGCCTGAAAAAGGCTTGTGGTGATTGGTACCAGTTCTAGCTGGGGCAAATGTCCTTAAGTAAACACAACTTCACCAGTATTTGTTTCCACGTGTGTAAGTGCTCACACAGCTCTGGAATTGAGCCAGCAGTGTAATAATGAGGGTTTTATTCCCTTTTTTGCCTCACTTCAGGACTCCCTTAGACCCTGCAAAGTGCCTTGAGCTGTGCTCATGTGTAGTCAGCCTGGACAGCTATTAGAGAGCACCATGATTTACAGCCGAAGGGCACATCCCTGCTCCAGAGCCCTTCCAGGGCAGCTGTCACAGAACCATAGCATTTTTGGGTTGGAAGGGACCTTAAAGATCAGCCAGTTCCAACCCCCCTGCATGGGCAGTGACACCTCCCACTAGACCAGGTTGCTCCAAGCCCCATCCAACCTGGCCTTGAACACTTCCAGGGAGGGAGCATCCACAATTTCTCTGGGAAACCTCTGCCAGTGTCTCACCACCCTCACAGGAAAGAATTTCTTCCTAAAATCTCATCTCAATCTCCCCTCTTCCAGTTTAAAACTATTACCCTTTGTCCTATCACTCAATGCCCTTGTAAAAAGTCCCTCCCCAGCTTTCCTGTAGGCCTTTCAACTGGAAGGTGCTCCAAGATCTCCACAAAGCCTTCTCCAGGCTGAACAACCCCAACTCTCTCCCTCTGATCATCTTTGTGGCCTCCTCTGGACTTGCTCCAGCCCCTCCATGTACTTCCTGTGTTGGGAGCCCCAGAATTGGACACTTCACCCCTCTAGCTACTACCCCATAACAAAAGGTTCTGCCTGTCCTGGCTGATCCTCACCTTGCTGCACAAGGTCCTTCCCAAAGGGGTTTCCACAAGCAGTTTTTCACCCCCTTTTGCACTGCCAGGTGAGCAGGCACCCATCTCTCACATTCCCTTCAAGCTGGGTGCTTCAAGACATCCCCTGCAGAACAGAGTGGGGATCACACACAGCTAGAGAGATGAAGGAGAACACATGCAAGTGCACAAATGTGCTACCACCACCACGCCAGGAATGGTTTTTAAAAACTACACACTCCTGCCTCACTCTGCTTTGTCACTGTAGAAAACACTCATACCTTTTTCTAAAATTTGGAAATAGAAGGTTTTTTTCTCTTTGTGCTCCTCTCCCTCTCTCCATATATCGTGTCACAGAAACTTAAGGGTAGCAGTATTTCTAACTGTTTTTCAGGTGAAAGGTACCACACATTCTGCAGCCACCCTTTCTTCACCACAGCCAGCATGGAATAAATAACAGGGCTCCAGCAGAGGTGTGAATCACTTCCATCCATCCTCACCACATGCACTGGTATTCACCATTCCAAAGTTCACTCATTAGGATAGTTAGCTAATAGCCAGGCTAGTTAGGGCAATAGTCAGGGATTAAAACCAATAATGCAGTGATTTACAGGGATCAACTGTAAAATTAACACTGTACTTCAGGTATTTTCTCAGTCACGTTTTTTTAAAATGATGCATACAAACCCAACTGCCTGTGGGTGAACAGAGCATGACAGTGCAGGGGAAGATGCAGCTGTCAGGGGGAGGAGGAAAGAGCAAAAGTTTACAAAAATTTGCCAACATTCTGCACCTTCACAGATGTTACAGGACTGTAAGGTAAATGAGAAACAACTTCCATAAAAGTTCTAATAAATATTCCTCCTAAATTTTAGTTTCTGAAAAAAACACTACAGTTCAATCATGTGGATGTGAGGTCTCCTGTTCTCCCAAGAAGTTTTGATTCAGTCAGATGGAAAATCACTTCCCAATGTACAGCTGTCATTGCTATCTCAAGGAACACTTTTATAAGGTAAATATTTGGCTTTTTACACCACTGCCAGAGATACCCTGAGTGGCCAAAGCCCTGTAGTATAACAAAACCTGTGAAGCACAGCCAGCCACAGGCAGGAAGGCAGCTACACATACCTGGTTATCAGGAGTTAAACAAGCTGGGAGAACCACAACAAAGGCAAGATGGGGAGTCTCAACCATGAATACTCACACAATGCTGAGACAGGCTGGTAATTCCTTGATCAAAGGAGGCCAGAGACCTCTCAAGCTAGAGGCATCCCCTGTGTGCACACATACACTTTGAGCTGCTCAATCAAAACTGCAGGGCAAAGTGTGCCCTTTTCTGAGAAAAATGTGCTCTTTAATGGCTGCTGCTGCTGCCCAAAAAGGTGGTCCCACTCCTACTACCCATCTTGTTGTCCCCAAAGTGAGCTCAGTTCAACTCTTAGGCAGATGAACCTGTCTCATCTCTTGGTTAGGATGGCTTTCTGCAAATTAAACACATTGACCAGGAGCCACTGCTACAGAAGCAGTTGTGAACTTCTAGCCCATAGTGGACATGATGGTTCTGGTACTGACCATCTATCCAATGGCTCACCTGGCATTGTGAAACCTCTGATAGAAACTTTGTTATAATAGTAACTGCAGCCTTTTCCAGGGACCGTTCTCTTTGGGATCCTAACAAAACTCTGGTGGCTCCCAGGCCACACCACATGTGTCCGTTTCTGTATTACACCCACCAGTAGAATATTCCTGCACCACCTGGGTGCCTCCAGGCCAGCTATCAAAAATGAAAAGTGCCTTACGGATCCTGGGAGAACTGAGTGATCTGTTGGCATGAGAAATCCCAGCTTGCCAGGTCAGGAATAGTACAGGTGATATCAACTCTGCTTTTTGCTGTTCTTCCCTATCAGACAGGTGAGGATCAAATACATTCAATTAGGCTTAAGTTAATGTTGGCACATCAATCAGCATTTCCCAAATCCATAATTAAATGATGTAATTAAAAGGTTGACAGCACAGACCCACTGCTAAGGGGTTATAAATGCCAGACTCTGGGGCATAGTCTCTATCTCAATTGATAAAATGTAAGTCAACAGAACTGTCTCAGCAGGACCTTGTGGCAAGAGTCAACCACTTTGCTAACTGTGCACCTTTAGGAAAGAAAAATTTATTTAAATGCAATTTAGTAGCTGCTTTCATATTACACAGAGGTATTACTTCACTATGATTCACTTGTGTCTTCTTGTACTTCTCAGGTGTAAAAGTGCTAAACTGAAATTACAGAAATATTGCAAACAGAAATAATGAAGAACTTTCCCCCTCTCTAAATCCTGTCATTTGAGGCTGAGGTCTCAGCTTTTAATTTTACACAAGCCATTCTGTGGATTCTTAGCTTTCTTCTTAGCCAGAGCACAAAGTCCCTGAAGACATTAGTCTATTTTAAGGAAATCAGATCCCATCTGATAGAAAAAAAGTTTTAAAAACCGTACCATGGTATCAGCCATTGCTTTCATTCTACTAACATGAGAAACGTTGTGGTGGACACTCAATACCATTTTTAACAGAGCCCAGTTGGTGTTGAAAATGGCATTTACATTTAGGAAAAAAAAAAAAAAAAAAGGATACATAGAAGTTTAGTGATTTTAAGTAAAATTGGGGTTCCACAAATGTAAAATCTCCTTTGTCTTCAGCAGAGGCACAATTTCACCTTTAAGCCCAAACCTTCTCTGACACACACCAGTACTTAAAATAGTATATTTTACAGTATATTTCAAATAGTGTATTTCAAATATGAAACACTTGTAAAAATGGGAGGAGAGAAAACAAGTCTTTCACTGGGAGGAATACTGAGGTGCACTGAATAATATTTAAAAGTTTATTATTAACTTCAAAGTAGAAATATTTCCTAATGCTACTAAAAGCCATTATGCTAGATGAGCAAAGCATTTTAATGTAAAGATTGCTTCAGTATGATTCAAGTAACACTGAGGTAATAAAAACTGTATTTAAAAAAACAATCAACAAATATTATCATAATGTGCCCATTAAACTGGGCAAAGGCAGTTAGTTTCTGGATCCATGTTAGGATTAATTAGGATAAATATCTGGCATCAGGAAGTTCTTTATACGAACTGGCTGAAATTTTGGGAATTGTTCAACCCTCATGGCTCAGGATAATGTGTGCATTATCCTAGATGTACCCATCAAGATATGCACATCACGACTGATGCAACCTACCCATCTCATTGTCTTTAAAAGAGAAGTCCTGCTTTTCTTCATAATGTGCACTAGCCATTTTTGCATTGCAGAAAACTTCAAGAGACCTTATTACCTGTTATGATTACACCATTGAAAAACAATGTTTTAGAATGGCAAAGACTAATTGTACAATAACTGAAGAGAGTAACTCAAGATTAAAGAAGAAACATCACAAACACAGGGAAAAAGAGCATAATTTCTTTTGTAGACAGTTTTGGTGACTGTTTTCTTTAGGATGTCCAGCATTCAATTCCTGTAGTTTTGACAAGTCTCTGGTTCTTGCTGTCCTTCTGCAGCTCAGTTCAGACAGTGACAATAGGCTGTTATTGATCAATCCAACTGAAAATTATTACAACTAAACTGAGAAGGCCAACACAAATGCCAAAAATAACCAGTGCACAGGCCTGTGAAGAAAGAAAAGCAAAAATTAATGTTTTACTAAAGGAAGCATTTTAAATTTCTAAGGCTTATAACTAATGATGAAAAAAACCTGTAAGAACAGATTTAGGTAGTGTCTTTTAAAATAATCTTTAATGCTTCCAATTACTCAGTCTTCAAATACAAGGTTGCCCAGAGAGGCTGTGGAAGCCCCATCCCTGGAGGTGGTCTGGTGGGAAGTGTCCTTGCTTGTAGCACGTGGGTTGGAATCTGATGATCTTCCAACCTTAACCATTCTATGATTCTATAAGAAACTGAATTTGTATTTTACTCAAAATATAATTAAAATTACAATGGATTATTTACATTTTTAATAGCCAGATGATAATAAAACTACAGGTCAAGAGACAGCAGCTTGCTGATTTAAAACAAGGCACCAAATCTGCTGGAACCAGTCAAGACTTTAAATGGTCAGAAAACATAACTAGTAGATTTTCTTTCAGATTTCCTGTTTAGACAGTACAAGAGCAGCCCTACAAATCATAAGAACAGCAGGACTGTTTTTCAGCATTTTAACCACTGTCATGATGCTGCTCAGCTGAGCAGTGATTAAAATGAAGTTCCAGTGCAAAAAGAAGGCTGCTGCACTAATTCCAGTGAGAACTGAACCTACTACATCACAAGAGAAAGCATAAAGAGAAGGAAAAAATAACAAAACAGGAAGAGGGGAAAAAAGCAGAAGATGTTTTTAAGAAGGCTGACAGAAAACAAGCATAAATGCTGTTCACTTAGAAGCAGTTTGGCTTTGTTCCAGCTGCCCAGACATCAGAGTAATGCATGAAACTGAGGAGAAGTTGGATTAAAAGTCAACATCTAAAAACTATAGGGAAAAGCATACATTCAGATCAAGTCTGGCATATGGACCAACTGCTAGTTAAAAATCTCTTGTGAGGGACTTTCAGAAAGACTAGAGCTAGCATGAAGGATGAAAGAAAATGCTCACATATTTTGTGTACTGCAACAAGAAGAACTTTGCCACTTGGATTCTGTGCTCTGCAGTGTATTAAGAGGCATCTAAAATGAGCCTCCTTAAACATAATTAGCACAAAAAAAAAAAAAGGCATACCCCAAGTTTCTGTGGTGATAAAAAGTCCTCTCTGTTAAGTTTAAGATAAAATAGTCCAGGATATACAAAAAGCAAACATGTTGAGGTGGTTGAACCTTCAAAAAAACCAGAAGATAAGATATTACTCAGAGCAAGACTGAAGCATATTAGCTTATCATAATAATTAATTTTTTTAAATCTAAAAAAAACCAAAAAACAACCACAACAACAACTTACCAACTACTCCAAATACATTCTTAATGTCTGGCACGTACATTGCAAACAAAACAATAGTTGCGTTGAGTGCTAAAGTGACAAGGATATGGCAGATCCAAGACACAGGAAGATGAGAGAAAAATACCATCAATACAGCTTTCCTTGCCTACATAACATGAAGAGAAACATTACATGGGTAAATACACACATATACATCTATTTTAATCCTATCTCAATTTTATAAACTTAAGAATTGTATCATTTCAGATGTGAAAGAACTTTTTAAAAATCAAAACAAACAATTTAACAGTTAAATGTTCAGTCTTTCTGTAGCATAGAGTTTACTGTTAAAGGAATATTTATCACACGGCCATTAGTCTTTAGGAATTACTCCTTTTTTGCAGGAACAAAAAGTTGATCTGGGGGATAATGCTTTGTCACTTCGAGCATGCTTCATAGCAAATATCAGCATGTTGCCAACTGATTATATATATATAATCTATATGTTATTTCTATATACATAAATTTTCATGCACAGCTCTTTTGGCACTAACTGAATAAATTTTGAGTTCTACCATGGTATTGATAAAGTAGGTTTTTTTGTGAAATAGGTCAATGTATGTTTTTACTTTTCAAGTGTAAGGGTGTTTGTGTGGGGGTGCGTGCATATAGAAAGGAAAAATCAAGTCAGCAAAACTCAATTTAAGAGGGGGAAAAAATCAAACTAAATAAACTTTAGATGTTCTGAATTCTCTAAATTAAAAACAATGCTGTGGGCTAGTTTTAATCTGAAATCTGTCTCAAGAGCACAAATTAGCTTAGTGGTTAGTTGTTGTTCTGGAGCTCTCATGGAACACATGCAAATATGTGGCCTTTGATCAATCACTTGACAAGTGAATAAGATACACAGGATTAGATGTGACTCCAACATTGCAGTCTGCAAAGCATTAGAGTTGCCACTGCTTATGCCAGCTTCAAAAGGTTCAGGAGTACTCACTGGGAAATGGATGAGAGGGACTGTCAGAAGCACAGCAAACAGGACAGCTACTTTAACAGTCATGATGACAGTATCATGTGGCAGGTACCTGCTGTAACCCTGTAGCAATTCAGAGTCCACTTTGTCTGAAAGCAAGAAAAATTAAATGCTTGGTTAAACCTTTGAGAACTAAACTAATTAGCAACGCAGATTAAGCTTACATTCTAACTTGTCAACTTGCTTGTGACTAATGCTGAGTGGATGGGGCTACAGCCACACGTCACCTTGGCATTACTGATACAGCAGGACACACAACCCCAAGAAAACTGAAAAATCTTGAGGCAAGTCTCTCTAAAGCCTCTGCCCCAGCCAAAGGCACCTCAAGAGCAGATACAAATATGAGGGAGAAGGTATTAAAAAGATGATGTGACACGAAGCCAAGGATACAGTAAAACTTGTTGTGTGGGTCTGAAACAGTCAATGCTAGATTCTTTTGGTTAGGAAAGAAGCCAGAAGCAAATTAATTTTACTAAATTGGCTGAATTTTTTTTTCCTCTCAGAAACATTATGGAATAAGCAAAGTAAAATTTCATTATTTCAAGGAAAAGCTGCAATTCTGATTTAAAGGGAGAAAGAAAAGTCCAAAACTATGCTAGAGTATGTGCTTTTACTGGCTAGAGTTAGCAGTGTATTGCTGGATGATGTGGGAAGGGTGACTAGCATCAGTTACACTTCTAAAAGATATTTCTTATTTTAAAAAAAGAAGAACAAAACTATGGACAATTGAGACCGATTTTCCCTTATGAGTAGAAAAGTGTAACAGAAGGACACATGTCAGTTTGGATTCTTGCAGCACCCAGAGAGTCACAGAGGACTGTGCTGGCAAGGCACATGACCTGGGCAAATACATGACAAATGATGTCCAAGCACATGACAAATGTCCCAATGTCCCAAGGACAGCTCTGTGCTCTCCAGCAGTAAGAATCCCCTGTGCTGTGCACCACATGCAGATTTAGCTTTGCAAAACCAGCTCCACTGTGGAATTACTACAGTATCCTACACCACGGATACATCCTCATAGACATTATTTCTGCACTATTCAACACAGAAGTGGGCAAAAAGGGATGAATCAGAGATGAATCCTTCACCTTTGACTTTTGCTCTTTTAAGGCAAGAAAATCTCACTAAGTCAACAGCCTAAGTCAGAGCCCTGAAAGTGGTCTGATACCCTTTTTATTTTTCCCAGCCTACTTTGACTCTATGCTTTTTTGGACTTCAGAATGGACCAAAATTTCCACCTAAGTCCAGTCACCATATGAAGTTTCAGTTTCACAGAGAACAACAGAATAAACTGTTTGAACCACAGAAAGAAGAAGCATGTCTTATTTCAAAGAGTGAACTTTTTAAATTCAATTTAAAAGAAAATGTTTTAGATTTTCTTGGACTGGTGTTTTAGGAACAGGGAACAGATTCTCTCTTTTTAAATAAATAACATAATTAAACAAGACAACCAAAAAGTGAAAAAAATGGAGAAAATTAAAAGAGTTTAAAAAAAAAGTTTATACTCAACTAAAAAACTGTAGCCAGAAGTATTCAAAGGTCCAAATGAGGAGTTATTGAATTGGTACTGAAGCACATTGCCACATCAACTCTACAGTAAATGAAAAATGTCTGTAGAATTTGGCAGGGCAAGAGTCATACCTCACCCACTTTTCTGTTTAGTAAAGAAAAAGGTATATTTACTTCATCAACCACCATGTCAACAAGATCTCTAAGAAACGTGTATTTCTTGGTCCAGGTTGTATATCAAACAGACACCATCTTTGGCTCAGGAACAGCATGGAACACAAATTATGGAAGACCAGAAGCATGTACTAGCTAGAAAGACCAGCACAAAGCTTATCCTTTCAATTTTTTCAATTCTTCCTTAGTCTTTTGGCTTTGCCCCCCACTGAAGTCAAGACACAAAAATAGATGGGCATTTTCTCTGATTCAGACCTTCTAATTTTCTTGCTCCTTGTCAATTATTTTTTTTCTGGAGTCTAGTTTGTCTTTACATTACATATAAACAAAGGTATCACGAAGAACCCACTTTGTGCAATCCTTTAAAACAAAGCTTTCCTAAATTGGATGATGCATGGGAAAGCTGTTCTCCCCTTCCAGCAAATTTCTAGTCAAACAGCTAGTGTTAGTTCCAACTAATTGGTAAAAATACAAAAAGAAAACAACCCAAAGAAACCACAAATACTCTGTACCCAAGCTGTATGAGACAGGTAAAACATGCTGCAAACCCTCCTGCCTACCTGCCATTAGGGCTAGCTTGCTGTGGGGCATGTTCCCCTCATACAAGGTAACTTCCTCAGTGCTACTCAGAGACTGCAAATGTGCTGAGACATCACAGGGTTAGTAAGTGATGAAAGTTGCTAGAAGATAGAACCTTAGAACAGACCTTTTAAATTGCTGGACAAGCAGGCTATTATCAGATCTCAATGTTTCTCACAGATAATCATAAAACCATTCCCAGCTTTTAAGTGAAAATATTATACAGTCCAACATGTAGTGGCAATCAATAGTCCAACTGCATAGCATTAGAGAACAGCAACCAACCAAGAGCTACAGCTGAGGGACCAATATCCCCTCCATAGCATCATAGCATTCTAAAGCCCTGGGAAGTTTGGCGACATGACACCCTGAGAAGTCAAGGAGACTGTGAACACTCTGCAGGGTTAGGCATATTCTTAAGTCCTCACAGAAAGAAGACTCCTGAGGATTCAAGGTCATCCATGCACAGACAAACCCAAAGTACTCCAGACAAATGAATAAATTCTTACCCTTCATTTTAAAGTACATTTGAATAATATACTTACCATAAAATGTCAAGTACCCAAACAGAGCAGACATAAAGTAAATTAGGAAACTCAGACCAATTCCTGTGACAGTTACATTCTGCATTCTACTTTTGGATGGACTAAAAACAAACAAACAAACAAACAAACCCCAGAAAATTATTGTTGCTTAATCTGTATTGCAGACTATTAAACACAATACAATCTACATAGCAGCTTGTCTTTCATAACAAAGCATCATCTTAATTTACGGCCACACAGTATTTGCTGAGGTCTGTGCTGTCAGTAATATTTAGGGCTCTTAAAAGTATTATTAATCTGGTAATTAAATGGTACTTTTCATGCAGACAACTACCATTGTCCCCATCTTGCAGGAAATTTAGACATACCAGAGTATTTTTTAAATAAAAATTGTTATTTATACAGGATTATATTCAGAGCCAGGAACAGAATCTGGGTCAAAAAACCCACTGAATCAGATGTGGCCAAATGCAGATTCAGTTACAGCAATAAAAATTAAACACTAATAAGTACCTTAACACATGACCTTTTTTCTCCAGATTGTCCAAGGCCAGGACAATGTACTGACATTGTTGATGGAATCATATTTGCTACTTTTCTCTCCTGTAAGAGAGGAAAAGCCAGTACAGACTAAAACTGTACACTTCCCAAAACCATGAAAACTACTTAGCTTGCACTGTTTGATGGCACTGACTTGAAAATAAATATTACTCAAGATTAATTTAGGGAAAATAGGATATTTTAATATTGTCTGTGTTTTCATACATTACCTTTGGAGCTCACAGTAGATGGGTAAGACTGAGGTATGGCAGAGAAATGAGAAGGCCATAGTTGGTATTGCATAAGCACTCTAAAAGAGAAGAACAACATCTTGTAGATTGTTTGTTATTGCAGATGGTTGGAAAAAAACCGGATTAATTCAGAATTTCGTTCAAGCCTTGGAAGTGAGCAGAAATCATTCCACACTAATGCTTTGAGATGAATCTCCATAACACAGAATGGTGTCTTGGAATCATGCCACCAAAAAAAAAAAAAATGGACCTTTTCAGCTAGTGACTCTTCAAGTGGTGGTCAAGGCTCACTAGTTCGTGATCAGGAGAGGTCATGCTGTCTATAAGCCAAGAAACTGAAAGATTCTTCTTCAGCTATGTTGAGGTGGAGTACTTACCTAAAAAGAGTAGGATTTGCCCCAGAACCAGAGTATCATTAATGAAATTTTCTAGAAACATTTGCTAAATTCTAATATCCATAGCTACAAGTCACTGATTCCTTCATCCTGACTTCATTATTTTCTTATTACTCCTTCACAAAGATGTGGATACAGCATCCAGAAAATATAACATGCTTTGGCATCTGAAGTTTTAAGATAGTTATATAATTAAAGTTGCAACCACACAATTAGTGATACATTATTCCAAACACTTGGAAGAGATGAATCATCCAGTGCATCTTACTTCAACTGCCAAGTGGAATAAGCTGCACTACAACAAACCCTTTTTGCTGACACGATCAGGACCATACTGGTGAAAAATATACCACATTCTATTGATCAAGTTAAAACCAAAAAAGAGGTAGAGATGGGTCCCAGGACTCTTCAAAGCAGAAAAGGCCAGACAAAAGACCAGAAACGCACAGTAGATGTTTTGGGTCAAAGCAAAATTTCTTCTTTGATCTACAGATAACATTTGTCCTGTGTTTGTACTGCCCAAGTTTGGTTTTTTTCCCCTTTATTTTTCTTGGAAGGGTGGGGGTGGATTTTGTTTTTTCAGACAACTGTAGCCAACCCATGTCCCTCCTAAACTTCATAACATCAGAGGCCTATCCCAGATTTATTCTTCCCTTTTTCTCTTCCTCTTCATCCCACAAACAATGTAGTCCTACATGATACTTCCTTTCCAGCAAGCCTTGATGAGTGGTGACATTATTTAAATACCACATTAATTAACAAATACCAGAGCTGGCATCCAATGAAACACACACAATTGCATTAGGCCTGAAGAATTAGCTTCAGGTAAGAAAAAACTAATGTTAGGTCCAAGCAATGTCAGGAACCCTGTTCTACCTCACAAGAAACTGAAAGCGTGAATCCAGTCAAGTAGCACTGACTGCCACCTGAGGGCATTTTAAAGTTGGCTTGATCTGACTGCATAGTGAGGCTGACCACTGCTGCATCTGTTAGACTTTATACTTTGGTCCTATTTGCAAAATGTTTTCATAAATGCTAACTTGGACAGCGAGTCTTCACATAAAGAACGAGTGAGACTGGGTAACACTTGGCAGCAGGTACAGGAAATATTTCAGCAGCCTATAACTAGTTTTACAGAAGAATAGCTTACTCTGGATAGAGTCTAAACCCCAATTCTTTAAAAACCACCACCCCCCTTTAAGTTTCTGCATTGTTAATAGAGATTACCTCTTTTGAAAGATGAAAGAGCTTTGCTTTACAGTCCCCAGTAGAATTTGAAACCTGTAAGACACACATGCAAAAAAATGGCATAATGAAAGAATAAACCCAAACCACAGACATGAAACTTTTTTATAGTTTCTCTGATGATTAAGAAAAGAAGGAATTTAAATTGCAAGTAATTCTGAAAGTGTTAATGTAAAAAAAGCATTACAATTACTAATAAAATTAGAAGAACTTCAAAACAGCACACACTTTACCTGTAAAGTCTCTATGGCACTATTCAGAGGTAGAGGACATGGGATCGACCATTTTTTTATCATAACCTGCAAAGACAAGCATATTTCATGTATGAATGATACCCTGAAAATCAGTTTCAATTGAGATAAACGTCACTCAAATATCAGACTGGGTACACAAAGCAGGGAGCTACACCCATAGGAAATTAACAGGCTTGCCTGATAGGCCACAAGGAGACGTGACAGAAAAGCTTGTCAGTGCCATTTCATACAGCTGCTGACTCTGCACAGCTGGCAGCCTTATGGTGTGCCTGTCTGGAGGTGGTGCACTGAAATGAGCTCTGACATTAACTGAAATACAACCAGCACTCCCCCTTCACTCTCTCTCTGCTCCACACTAACTGCCTCCCATACAGAAGAGCTGCTGTGTTAGCTATCCCAGGCTCTTCCCCAAAGTAGACAAGCCCTTAACAGAGATAGAGCAGAGCCTAGGGCTAATCTTAAAAGGCAGGAACATATGGTTTGGACTAGAAAGCAAAGGAAAAACAATAAATGCAATTATTGTCCTTTCCCTAAGTAGACAAGCCCTTAACAGAGATAGAGCAGAGCCTAGGGCTAATCTTAAAAGGCAGGAACATATGGTTTGGACTAGAAAGCAAAGGAAAAACAATAAATGCAATTATTGTCCCAGAATGTCATTGGGGCTTTAGCTACACCCTGCTGGTTTAGGAACTGCCAAGTAACAGGGCTGAAAATCAAAGGGAAATTAAAATAAGAAATGTTACCTCCTTTTTCAGGAGCCCAGTTTAAAATGATAGTTGCATTGCTCTCCTCACCCTAATTAATTTCCTATTGTAGTTGCCTGGCTTTAGAGGTTATAATTCTTTTGAAGCCTAGAGCAAATCATTAAAAACTTCATTAAAGACTCAGATTCATGAGAAGAATAACATGGAAAAGAGCACTTCTCCTGGCTCAGAGAACTACTTTTTGGTTGCAGCCAAGTGGTGTTTCCCAGAGGATAAGTATTAGAAACTCCCTCTTGTCACCAGTACCAGGAGAAGTGAAAAAAAAAAATGCTACCTCTGGACAAAATATGAGGAAAGGAAACTGTGGGTACCTGCCATGCTGAGTCCATTGTGGCAACAACATGTCTTAAACAGCATGACTAAGAACAACTCACAAGAGGTCAAGGTATGGAACTGGGCAGCAGCTTGCTCACCAGCTGCCTGCAAATGGTGTGAAAAAGGATTATCAATGGAAATCCTCCAGCCATGTTTCTGACACTAAACTGGCACTGCTTTATACCAGCTTTTACCAGCTAAGCTGCCTCCTTGGTGCAACGTCAACTGCAACCTCATCAAACAAAGGGTGTAAGAAGGGACAAGAACATGCTGGTAGGACATTAACAAGTTCAACCAAAGCGTGTGCAAGGCAGGAGGAGGAAAGGATCAAACACTGAAATGTGGCTTGAGCCTGTATCCTACATACACAGGACTCTGCCACATGGGTCACCCCTGCTTCATCTCTTTCATGTGGACTAAGCAGTGAGAAGCTACAAGCTGAGACACATCTCCCCAGGAAGCCCAAGCTTGCTGGCTAGCTGAAGACACTGATGAGGCTAAGCAAGAAGGCAAATAATTTTTCAGGGAGATCTCTGTGTATTTAAAGGCACCCACATAGGGGAAATGAAGGAGAGGCTTTGAAGGCTCCAAAGCAGAAGGCTTTGTGGGAGCTCTGGCTAAGGTTGGAACAGGCTTCCTGAGCGATGGAAAGGGGCATGAAGATACAGGGCAAGCGTTGGAGAAATCAAAGTGTGCCTGGCAGTGACGGGGGCAGGGTTTCCTGCATGCTGAAGAGCAAAGATACATCTAAACATTGCAGAGAGAGGACTAGCCAAGTCAAACCTAAGAAGTTGAAGAACATTTTTCTAAAAATGAAATTAATAATTAATGCAGATTAAGAACAGATTGAAATGGAAACAAAAAGAGACCTTATAAAACACACTAGGTGCCTTTAAAATCTGTAATTGTATTTGCCCATCTGCTTAATAATTCAAATATGTTTGGGTTTCCAGTTGTAGTCTATTCCATATTTCTAATGAGGTCCCCCCAAAAGAAAGAGATTTTTAAATTGGCAGCACAGCCCTGTTAGCTGAGCAATCATGCAGACAGCACAATCTTCCTCTGGAACTTTAAGCCTATTTCATATAAACATTGTCTTCTGAGTATAACAAACATTTGGTTTTAAGTGGAAAAAAAACTAAAGAGAGGTCCTAGTGGAAATAGGGTATTATAAACCCACACCAATTACATTGCTAAAAATAAAGTTAGAGGCTCAAAATGTTCTTATGTCCTCAGTGATGTTGCTTTTTCGTATCCTGTGGAGGGAAAACAGGAATTCCTTTATTTCAGCAGTACTGACAGCACTCAGCCAAGAGAGGCTCCATGTGCATAACATCATGCATTTCATATGGCAGGTGCCCAGTCTGCATCACACTTTGTTCTGGGAACATGAACATGAGTTACAGAAAAATACCATCAGGAATCATTAACACCTTTGCTGAACAAGCTGCCAACAGGGCTGTCTCAAAAAAAAAAAAAAAAAGAAAAATCTGTCTTTGCTCTTCACCAATATACAATACAGCAAGAAGGGAGGCAATACAAAAGAAGTCTAATTATCATATTTAATTTCTTTTCACTTATGATTCGTCAGGAAAGTATCCAACAATCAGAACCAAAAGTGCTCTGGACCTCACAGACTCTGGCTTTGAATTAATAGATAGGGGTATTTGTTCTTCTCCCAGATCAGCTCAACTCAGTGTTTTCATTTTTTTCCAGGTGAGGCCCATATCCAGTACATTAACTTTAAAGGAAAAGGTAGTGAAGCACAGAGAGGAACTAAACGATATGAATTGCCAGAGCCCCACAGCAGAGCACAGAGAACAGAGTATCACAGAATTGTCAGCTGGAAGGGACCTCTAGAGATCATCCAGTCCAATTCCCCTGCTAAAGCAAGATTGCCTAAAGTGAATTACACAGGACTGACTCCAGATGGGTCCTGAATATCTCCAAGGAAGGGGACTCCACAACCTCCTCGGGCAGCCTGTCCCAGGGCTCTGTCACCCTCACCGTAAATAAGTTTTTTGTCGTATTTCAGTGACACTTCCCAAGTTCCAGCTTGTGCCTGTTGCCCCTCGTCCTGTCACTGGGAACTACTGAAAAGAATCTGGCCCCATCCTCCTTGCACCCACCCTTTAGATACTTACAGACATTAACAAGGTCTCCCCTCAGCCTTCTCTTCTCCAGGCTAAAGAGTCCCAGCTCTCTCAGCCTTTCCTCATAAGGGAGATGCTCCAATCCCCTAAATCATCTTTGTTGCCCTCCACTGGGCTGTCTCCAGCAGTTCCCTGTCTCTTGACCTGGGGGGCAGCAGTCTCAAGACCTTTTTTGGTCAGTGCACTCCCTAGCCCACCATGACCAAGACACAAGCTCTCTATTGTACCTCTTTTCTGCAGGCTGTATTCAAACTGTAGCTTGCTGGCCAAAAGCTGAACAGATGGTATGCACTTGAAAAGGCACAGAATTATTGTATATGCAAAAAATAATTGTATTACTTCCATATGACTAACAGAGTTTTCCTCTGGAACAAATTAAAACATATCTGCCAAACAAAAATTAACATTGTGCAAACTAATGCACCATTTCAACAGCACATATCACCCATTTCAAAGCAATTAGATATGAAAAGTAAACCACAGTTAAATGCCTCTGAGTTTCAATGCCTAAAGAAATCAGAGAAAATATTGTGTGAAGGGCATTAGTTTTCTTTCAATATCCATAATGGCTTTTTAAAATGTTGTCCTCAATTAGCTTTACTGTGGCTGTCTTTGTCACTAAACAAGTGCATACAAATTTAACCATTTCATAAGAAATCCAGCAGTCTATGTGCTCCTTCATTTGTACTTTTTACCTATTTTTTTGGTAGAGATACAAAACTAAACCCTAGCTTAAATCATCCCAGCTTGACACGTCTGCAGACAAGTCTTGCTTACACACTTGCCTTTTCTGAGCCCAAAATTGTTTTCAAATGCATCCACCCATTACACCAGCTCTCTTCAGACATGCATACACATTCCCATTGAAATTGAGGGGATGAAATTGTTTTAAAACTCTTCCAATGACCTTCAGCCAAAGGCCCATTTCAGCATTATGGTTAGTGCTTGTTTTTTTTCTCCTTTTTTTTTTTTTTAAGATAAATTTTAGGAGAGAGGTCAAAAGTTAAGGTAATTTATAAATATTACAAATGAATTTCCATTAGCTCTGCAGAGCCTGTGGCTGCTCCTCAATGCTCAGCTTAGGAAGAATACTTCCCAAGGTCCTACAAACACTGCAATTCTCCAGGGATACCCTAGGGAGATGTTTTGACAGCTTTTAAGTTTGGTTTTATCACATGGTTTAGTTCCTAATGGATTGCCTGGGTCTCCTGGCTGGCATGTTTGTTCAACTTGCCTTCAACTCTGTTTATCCCTTTGTAAAACAGGTATTAAATGCAAGTCGGTGCAAGCCAGAATGACAGGGGAGAGGGGGAACATTCTTCCAGGCTCCCAAGTAAGATTCTTGTTTCTTTACCTATATGACAGAGTGCGAGTTGCTTGGCTGTACTACACATGACACATATGCATTAACACACTTTTCCCCTGCAAGAACAAAAATTGTGCAACTTAAAGGCACATTTTCCCTCCTAGATCTGCCTAGCAGGTCTCAGTTTCGGTATTTGGAAACATCTACCTCACAGGGGCCTGGAGAGGGTGAAAGTCAGGGTCAAAAACCCCCATATGGCTCAGACAAAAGAAGTCTTCCT